ATAATTATCTTATTATAGTATTTACCTTTCATGAGAGAAATGTGAAGCTGCCACTGTTGGCCACCTCCTAAGATGCTAGTTGCCTGACTGTGTCTGGCTTAGTGCTTCACAACAACATGGATGTGGAAGAACTACATAGAATATTAAAGACAGAGAAAAATATGGATTCCTTATTTGTATATTTGTTCTGTGACAATAGGGTTGATTTACCAAAGGGAAATAGGATATTCACCTTGCACAGAAAGTTCCCCTTAGTGAATGAGGTGAAGCTCTGCTGACTTCTATCATCCAATCATGTGCAAGCAGAAATACTGTTTTTTTTCAGTTTCCTTGCATGTGATTGGGTATTCTTTGAAAAGTAAAATTTTACCCCATTCACTTAGCTAATAACAATCTTCCCCTATTTGCTTTAGTTAATCAACCCTAATGAGTCACAAAGTATTGAAGGCAAAGAATAAGCATTACAGCCAATCAACTACCATTTTCAGAAATGGTGAGCAATTTCAGTCTACATACCTCTCATGACAGGTTTCCTTGAAGAATAATAATGGTATTAACATAACCTTTTTTCATTTTTGCCTGAACAGATAGTTGCATCTGATGGAACCCAAGAAAGTACTCCAGTAAATGTCAACATTGTGGTTATAGATGCAAATGACAACACTCCAACATTTTCTAACATCTCCTATAATGTCAAGATTTATACAGATATGGCACCAGGAGAGAATGTTTTAAGAGTAAGTAACAGACATTAGGAAATTATTCAACATTATTTTTCCTTATTCAAAGTAAAAAGTAAAACTGTGCAATATAATTCGTACCAACAGATAGATTGCTCAAACTCATTGTTTTAATAAAAGACCCATCCGATGGTGCTCTGTGGATTTTTAACCTGCCATCTATGAACTGAACTTGCCTTCTCTTTTTATCCTGTTTTTTCAATTTCCTTCTTCTTGCATTTTCAATTTCCTTCTTTCCTATAGTAGGATGGAAGGAGATGCACCTGCATTAACTATTAGAAAAAAAACAAAAAGAAATTAGAGACTTGTTCATGTTTTTATTACAAGCAACTTATTTTAAAATTCATATTTTACTATTCCAAACATGATACAATTGCAATTTCTTATAATAGTTTTAAAGAGCAGTAACTGGCCTCCACAATTATAAAATAAATCTCTCTAACACAGAACATAAATTTAAATAAAGTGGCTTTCCAAAACTTTTATGCACACCTTTACCTATATTTAGTGCACCAGCTTTACCTGTCCCTCCACCCTTGTCTTTAGTTATTTTTCTCTTTCCCCTTTCCCCTTTTTCTTTATTCAGCTGATAAGGACTACACATACTTCTCCCAGACTTTTTTTTATCCAACAATCTGTTTTGCTTTCACATTTGGGTGCCTCTATTGGGGTCACCATCTTATCTGTACATTGAAGTAAACATTGATACATTTAAGTAAACTTGGTAGGCTAGAGCTCTTGAAGAGATCAGGTATTGTAATTTTATATCTCAAATCGCTGACTCGCAGGGACAAGTGAAAAAAAATTCCCCTAATGAGATAGCCCACGCTTTTAGAGATTTTTATCACAATCTTTACAGCCTATCTACAGGTGGGTCTCCTAACAAACTTATCTCCCATCTCATTGCTATTTGATCCTATTTGCGAAACTCTAGTCTCCCTACTATCGCTTCTACAGAGAGTTCTGCTTTAGATACAGTAATTTCAGAGGATGAAGTTAATATTTCCTTACATTCTGTGAAGCCTGGTATGGCTCCTGCCCCTAACAGCTTCATGTTAATATAGTATAAGACTTTTAGTCAAACGATCACCTACTTTTTTTTTTACTAAGGTCTTTAATACTATCCTACATGGAAAACAGATACTGGATGAAACCCTGTTTTTTCTTGTTTTCTTCTCTGCTCGTCTATACCTTCTCCTCCCACACCATGAGTAAAATTACCCTTCCTCTGTCACCCTTTTCTTCCCTTTCCCCTACTTTCCTCCCTTCTTCCTCCTCCTTCATGTCCTGCATATCCCCCTCCCTCCTTTCCTGACCCTCTCCCTTACCCTTCAATGTCCCCCTACCCATTAAGAAAAAGGAAATACCTGGGAGTTCGCTAGTTGGTATGCAAGCCTTTTCTTGCCAATTGAATTAGTAATTGTAATAGATCTGTCCTGTAATTATGCCTTGTCCCCCACTTTTTCTAAGCTGTCTGATGTGTGTATCACCTTGTGATTCCTTCAATAAAGATTGTAGTTTTTTTTAAAGTGCAAAAGCTGCCTTACCTGCACTAGGAAATCTTACATTGTTGAAGCTCTTTGTACATTTTTGCATATTTGTATAATTTTTTCCTGTTCTGATAGTACACTATATGACAAATGTTCCTGACGAACCTGCCTTTAAAATATTTCACACATTTCACCTCTGTAGATGCAGGTCAAGCTTCTTCATTGCAGGAAATATTTAACAATATTGTCTTTATAACAAGCCATGTTATTAATTTACGTAGCGATACCTTTGTCTTTCTTTTTGGCCAAATATTTTAGAAAAAAGGGTAAATATTACATTTTGATTCTGATAAAACCTTGATTTTTTTATCTTTATAAAAACTTAAACTTTATGTAAAGTTATAAAACAGTATAAAAAAGTATAGGAATGCTTCAGCAGCATTTGTACATAATGTTAATAATACAGATGTACAATAATTAAATGCTGCATATTCAGAAAATATATACATGGAAGGGGAACTGTGCATAAATTCTTAGCTCAAAATGTATTGCATTACCAAATCTACTCTGTCCATCCACTTATATCTCCTTACAGATTCCCCTTTGCAGGCTACACAGTAAGAATAATTTGTTTAGCTGTCTTTTTATTGTAGATTTATTGCCCTCAGAGCTTCTGGTTATCCAGGCTAGCACTAAAATAAGCCCTGTATAAATAACATAGCCTTCTTGGGCTGTAACAATTCTAGTGTGTCTCTGTAGCTAAAAATTGACAATACCATTTAAAGGTTTGTAGTTCTGAAAAAAAGATACAGTTTTAAGAAGTCTGTATTAGAGTTATAGTGTCATTGTGTTCAGGAACACTAACAATTATGTACTAGTATACAATACTCTAATGTTTTGATATACTACAGTCCACAATTTTTTTTCTTTTTTAGTGATTACTAGACTAGTGGCAATGAAAGGGTTGTTGAGCTTTTGCAGAGTGGTCAAGTGGAAAATGAATGATAAAAGTTAATTCCCTGTATTGCCACCTGTACCGAACATAGACATACTTTATGTTAGGATCAATGACAGTACTATCACAGCTGTCACTGCCAGGTATCACACAGAGATCTTGCCAGGGGGCCCCATCAAGATTTTGCTATAGTGCCCCATGATCTAAAGTTACACCCCAGATAGACCCTAACAATCTACCTAGTAGATTAATTTCTAGTGAATATCATTATCTTCTTGCTTTGTCTGGACAAACCAGCCTTGCATTAATCTGGACTTGTTCTATAATGTTGAAGAATTTCACAACTTATACAAGCCACTCTTTAAAGAGGAACTTTACCCATATCTGCAAAATAACAACAAAGGCACCTTTAGAAATGTTTAGTAATGAAAATTTACAAACAGATACTTCCAGATAATTGCAGGCTTTTTATTCTTTGCATACCACCTCCCTTTACTCCCTGGAGCTTTGGCACATGTGATTAAGACATGTGACCATGCACATTATCTTAGGGGAGGAAAATTCCTTTCCCTGAGATCTCATGAGATTACAGATGAGATTTCCCAGCAATGCTCTGCTGATGTCATTCTCCCAAGATGCAGTGATTGGGCACAATTACATACTTTGTGCCAAAGTGGACCAGGAAGTGGAAAAATAAGAAATTGTAAGTAAAATAAAAATGTTTGTTTAGCTAATAAATGTAAGATGATTTCATATCAGCATGCAGAGCTGTATGCAAAAGTGATTTTTTTTTTTCAAGGGGTGTAAAGGTCCAGTTCTCAGAAGCTGAGAAATGTCTTCACAAGAACAAGTCTTCAACAGCCTTCAAAGTCCACTAGCAGGATTGAGGAAAAAGTACCCAACACTGTATATATGTATATATAATACACTATGGAAGCAACTCGATTATGTTTATTAAAAACAAAAAACTGCAATTTTACTTTGAATACAAAAAAATTATTCAAATAAAACATATTGATAAAGTTTTAAAGAAAAAAAGGACTAAAAGGAAAGGGAAGTAAATGAGGACACTTATACAGGGTGAATGTAATCTGTCTCCCTGTTTTTGTTTGCAGCAAGCTAGTTTATTGAAGAAAATGGTGGGGAGGTGGATATGTAGAAGTTTTACATAGGGGAATTCTAAACTCTTTTTAGAGTAGTTTTAGTTTTAATGCTTAAGAAATAGTCCTACTTAATCATTCAACATTCTACTTCAGTATGCTGAAAGTCTTCATTACTGAGGCACTTGTGTGCTGTCAAAATTGATTGAATGTTTGTCACACATTCGAGGCATTTTTTTTAACTGCTTTTCCCAGATTCTGCATCCTAATGCCTCTAGTTCTCTGCCTCAGAGAACGATTTGTAAGAGAACTATGTGTTTTCAACTCCAAGAAATGATACCAGTTTGAGACAAATTTGTACATACTAGTTAATGAAATTACAAATATGTGATGATGATGACAGAAAGTTGACTGATATGAAGTAGCAGCTTTAAGCTGAAAGTAGCTACGCTGTATTCAAAATGAACCCAGCACAGTAAATGTAATGCAAATACTTAAGTCATTAACTTCAATAATGTAGGATAACGTACTTCAATTTATTTCCCACTAATAATGCTATATGATGGTCTCTGTCACTGAAAGCATCTTTATTGGATGAACTCATTGGCACTGGTGATCTTGATCTTATGGAGTCTAATTATTACTCTCCAGAACCTTTAAAAGAAAAAAAACATTCCAGTTATGTCCTACTATCCAAATACAAAAGAAGCTTTAATAATCATTTGCCCAATCTGTTCATTAACATTGCTATAGGAAGATAAACTTCATGTCAAATTGCATTTACAATTATCTGTACACAATGATAAGGATAGAACTACCATCTCATAACTGCTCGCTAGTAAAAGTACTTAAAGCTGTGATAACTAACATAGTTGCTTATATTTTATCAAACCTGTAAATATAGCAAAATGTCATTTTTTACTTTCAAACAACCTTACAATGTGTAATGCTTCATACAGCACTGATATCAACTATAAAGGGCTCTATATAAAAGCACTATATTGACTATTAAAATGTTTGTTCAGGCATTACCCAAATAAACCCCAAAAACATCCATCTTCCCCTTTACAGCATGTTCCACCATTATTTTTTACCTTTAACATAGTAACATAGTTCTGTATTGAGAAACAGCTTTTCTTACCCCTGTTACATCATCACCTTGCTGGTAAAATTCTTCTAAGGGCAGCTGACAGGGGCACCATTTCTAGATTGCATACTCCCAGAACTACAACTCCAAAGAGTCTTTTCCCTACCCACATTGTGTGGGCACGTGAAAGGAGAGAATTGTTTTGCTGGGGAGAAAAATTAACATAGGCCCGTGGATTGGCCAGGGGGTAGGAGTTTGGGATAGGTGGGGTTTTGTAGTCCATCCGGCAGGGCTGATGATGCGTGTTGGGATTCCAGAGCAATAAAGGCCCTGTGCTGTCAGCCAAAACAGGAATTTAGGAGCAC